AGGAATCCGGTTGAGTTGATGAAAACATTTTTCTTAAATTTCAGTGGCTAAGGATGAAGCCAGTTTAGATCTGTTTTAGGTATAGGAGGTAAAGAATAAGAATGCTTCCAGACTTGGTTTAAAAAAATATTCACTTCTGAATGAACTTCAAATTTGAAGAAATCCCAACGTTTGCCTAGTTAACCCACTAAAAGATGCTGTCAGTAGTGAGCTGAAGGCTTGTTTACACTTTAAATATTTAGTATTGAAACTGAAAACTGTAGCCTAATCGTTACTGACAGTTCTCCATTCACTGTTATGACATCAAAGGCACTCCTTGAATGCTGTAAAATGGTAAGAATGTGTGTTTTGAAATACTGTGTGCTGTTTCCCTTTTACTAAACACTTGTGCAGTTTTTGTACTTGAGTACAGCAAACTTTAACGTAATGTACATTTTGTATGTAAAGAGTTGTCTTTTAAGTAGCCTTATCCTATTTAAATAAATTCAGTTAAAAGCAATCTAAGTAGTACTGACTTGTTTTTTGTCATGTAATTTAGCTTGTTCATTTTATGCAGTTACAATTCAGTGGACTTGCAGTGACTAGGACTTAAGGAAAACCTTACAGTGTAGAAGGCTCAATAACTACTTTGGAATTTTAGCAGCAGTTAGAATTGTATGATGGACCAGCAGGTCCTTGCACTATTGTAACAGTCAGGACTTCTGTTTTGGCTGTAGTCTGTACTGTATTTTGTTGTAATTCTGATTGCTAGAAGTGTGTATGTTGGTATCTTTCAAAGAGCAACATGTGGAAGTGTACTGGCATTATAGCCACTATCTTATGACAATAGTATTATTTTCAGGCTGAATTTCCCTGAGGCTTGCCGTGTATTACCTCCCTTTCCCCAGTGCTGGGACCATTCTGCCGTGTGCTGTAACAGTTGCAGGCAGGATGCAAGCCATGCTTTCCTTACTGCCTTCCACTACTCTCTTAAGCTAATAGCAAAGCTTCCTCTCCCAGCAGAGTACCAGAGCAGAGCTGAAGTGTGCTGGGGAGTCACCTGGATCCTAGAGGAGAGTGAGGTATGTGCTCTCTTGCCTTGGGAGGTCTCGGAATAAGAGGGATTTTATGGCTATTTTATTACTACGGCCTTTACAACAGAATGAAGTCACCGAGGGACAGAATTTAGTCATCCAATGAGATTAGATTAGCAAGGTGTGCACTTCAAAAATGTCAGCCAGGCAAGTTCTTCAAATGGTGTACATGGACCAAATCTGGTTTGATGCACTTATTTAGCTTCCTGAATTAACAGGGGAGGAATGACCTATGATCGCTTTAGGCTTGGTACAAAAGGAGATAAGATTTAAGAGTGGTAGCAGGAATTAGGAGCAAACTTTCCTTACCTGATTACCTACGTAGTATGCTCCTAACTTTTATTTCCACATCTGAGTATCCCTGTTGGAGGTGTGATAAGACTGCTTTTCTCCTTTTGCTGCATACAAATAAATTCCATCTGGAAAGTGTACAGGGATCAGGCATTGCATGACATGGCTGTATTTCTTGAAGTTTGCTTTGGGAAGAGGGTATCCTCCTTTGGATTGTTTCTTCTCAATGTTGCTGTCCTGCCAAAACGCTGTTGCTGGCAGTTTGCCTTTGTACTAAAACATAGCAGAAATGATGCCAGAGCAAAGGGTGTTTGAGTATTGCAGTACACAGCAAAGTTAAGTCACGCCCTAGTATAGGACTTTGTGAAAATCAAAAGTTTAACACCTTTGGAGTTGTCTTGACTTCCTCTGTTGCTGAAAATAACAATGTTTAGTTTTGAGTTTATGGCCTATGAACAGTGTTATCAGCTACCGCCAATTAAGTATTTTCACACAGTTCAGTTTTGCTGCTAATTTCCCACTCATTTGAGTTAGTAGGAGACTTATCTGCTATAGCAGTGCTATATCAGTATTTAAATAATTCTCATACGAGGATTATTTAGACTCTATGAATTCATAATGACTTGCAGGGGCAAAAAAGGGTTGTATTTGAATGGCTCTTGCATTGTATTTCTTAAGACTGTGAACACATTTTATTTGTAAATACCAAATATGTAAATTTAGTTAAAACACTGTCACAAAGTTTTGTTTTGAATGATTTTATTTTGAAAAATACAATGTGCAGTGTAATGTCAACTAACTGTAATATTGACACTGTCAGTCAGAACTCGTACTTCACACAATGATCAGCTAGTCATGCAATAAAATATGTATCTGTTATGCAGCACTCCCACTTCAACTGTTTTATCATTATCTTTATGGCATGGCACAAGTCTTTGTACATTAAAACACACTACATTCTCGGTCTTTCTATGCACTTGACAGCACACTCTAGTTACATAGCTCAAGAACATTGAGGTGATACCTCAGCCTTGTTGAAATTGAATGGTGTTTTGCCATTGATTTCAATGGGTTGAGGGTTTCATCCTGAATAGCTACCTATGAATTTGTGTGTGGTCATCATACTCCTTGAACTGTTATCACTTACTTGTAAATTAAATCAGATACTTAAACTGGAATATTTAGTGAAGAAAGTATATTATGTCAATAACACCCAAATGGTTTTGTCTCTCAGGTTTCGCATTAGTTTTGGTTAGCTACAGAAATTCTTAAACACCCACACTGCTACTAGAGATTTTGAAATTGTTTTCCCTCCAGTGCTGGAGAGCTTGAAGGAAAAGGTTAATTGATATGAATGGTACAGAGAAACACAGAATGCCAAAGCTAGTTCCAAACGTCTGCGTATTTTGAAGTATATACTGCAAGCACAGCTTCTTCCTGGTGCCACATGTCCCCCCTCCCCCTCATTTTGAGCTTTAAATATCCTTCCCGCATTCAGGGCAAAGAATGTCATCCCTTTCTGTGAGGAAGCCGCGTCCTACTAATGAGAGAGAACACTTCTTACAGTTAAAGCAGTCATTATGCCACTGCCGTTCTTCAAAAGAGATGTACTTGGTTCCTCCGAGTCCTATTTGAAAACAAAAAGCATTTGGTTATGGGAAAATAACAGAGCATTAGCTATCAAGAGATGCTGTTTCAGAGTGCTCCTTACAGATCGCTGTGGAGATCTGACATACAGTAATGAAAAAATGCAGTTTTGACAAATCTCTGTCTGTTTTCTGCCATGCTCGTTTTGCTACCCTTATTCCGTGTGAGTGGTACCTTCATCCTCACGTAGTTCTGTTGCTTTCAGCTGAGTCAGTGAACTAGGCTGTTAATCAATGGTGATAGAAGGTGGCAGAAATGAACCCTTAAGCTCAGTCTGAGCTGAGACGGTGCGATGGGAGTGCAATATACAGCAGAAGAAAAGGGCAGAAACTGCACACGAATTACGGAAGCTTGGTATTGATTTACTGGAATGCTTATAATGTTTAAGTTAACTTTGTCTTTTGCAGAAAGTGCATTTCCAAGAAGTCTTACAGGCTGGGCAATGACTTGGTTCATAGCTTTCAAGGAGAGGTGCCTCAATGAAAGAAGCAAGTTAGTAAACTGCAAAAACATTCATGAGAAGTTGAATGTTGGTATCATAAGTGGTATGGAAGCAGTACTGAGAAGAAAGAAAAGGGGCAAATGTCTCTGTTTTGGTAGGAGTTAGCTGTTGCTTAACCTTGGGAATGATAACAGGTCGTTCGAATACGATATGCTGAGAAGTTGGAAGTCAGTGAAGAGATTTACAGTTGGGCATATCCTTTAACTGATGAGAGCATATTGGTTTGTTTTAGTAGCAACATTTTGAAAAAAAACCTGATGTGATAGAAAGGACTACACTGTTCAGAAGAGAAATGCATCTTTTAACGTGAACAGAAAAATAGCACTCATGGTGATAGGCATCATAAGTATTAAATAGCACAGATTCCTGAATTGAAGAGTGTGGTGATTCTCTCAAGCTATTCAGAATGAGTTACTGAACTATTTTTAATGTTAGAAGTAGTTTATTAAAAAAAAAAAAAAACAAAAAACATTTTTTAAAAGACTCTGATCTTGAAATACCTACCACTGATAGGGTTTGTGCATCCAGCACACTTTTTGGCGTAGAGATTGCAGAAGCAGCTCAGGCAGTATGCGAATTCATCCCTGGAGGTAAAGCGTTGTCCGGACAGCTGCTTTTTGCATCCAGTACAAACAAAGCACTCCTTATGCCATGGCTGCTCCCGGTAAGTAACACCTCCGGTAGTGATCGCCTGTTTTATGGAAAGTAAGGCAGAAAGTGCTTTCTTGAGGGCATAAAGTTTTTTGTCTTGATTTGGTAGGGAGGAAGGGTGATAAGGCTTTTGCAGGCGGGAGGAGTAGTGGGGAAAGAAAGCTTAACAGCAAAATCATTTTTGACAGGAGCTGACCTTAAGAAAAAGAATGTAAATGGTTCATTATTATTTCCCAATGTATACAAAGGTGCCCCATACTAAAAGTGCTTTATTCCTCATATATTGTATAATCTTACTCTGAACTGTCCTTCCTGTTTCTAAAGCCAGCCTTCTTTATAGGTCATTTTTCTTAGGCATGTCCTAGCATTCTTCTCATCTCTGTTCCTTCACCTGTCCCTTTCTTGGTAGTCAAAGAACTACCTTGTGTGTTTCAACTTTTCTGTTACTTTCCTTGTTAAAGACTCTTTTTTTTCACACTTCAGCTGAAATCTTTATTTTCTGTTTTCTGGATTCAGTCTGGGATTTTGCTAATATGGCCAAACAGCCCCCCCCCCCCCCCCCCCCGGTATTAGACGAACTAAACTTGATTGTTCCTTTCAATGTTCCCAAGAAAACTGTATAATCATTCAGTTTAATTTTTCTTTCTTTCTTCACTAAGGGGAGATCCCCTAGGAGATGAGGCTAGTGTGTTATCATGCTACTTAATTTGTCTATTCATCTG